AAGTAAATTTTTAAAAATCATAATAATCTTTATTAACAGGAAAGTTTTTAAATGTACATGATTATAAGAAATCATAAATGACAGACAAATTTTGGAGATCCGGTAGATAAATTTAAAGAAAGAGGGAGCAAAGAGTATAAGAATGCATAGAAAAATATTAAATAATTGAACAAATAAATAAAAAATAATGAAATAATTTTTAAATCATTATAAAGTTGTGCGCAGAATAGAACTTTTAATACAGTTTCGAATATGGTTGATGTGCTATGAAGTAATACTAATATAATAATAATAAAATAATATAACAATAATTAATATATATTACATAATGATAATATACATCTTTTATACATTGTCTTTTTCTTTTGTGATTTTGATATTGTAACTTTTGGAGACAATTAAATACTTCCAATATTTTTAAGTAATATTTCGGAAGATTATTTTGTTATTCAGATCTTGGAATTATAACTTTTCGATAAATTATTTTATTTTTCGATATATTTTTTATCAAGACAATGCATGCTCACTATTATCGTTAAACTGTTGCTTTACATCGTGAATGTAACATCTGATAATTATGATACTGAGGTAGATATTCGTGATGAGCGAAATAACGAAAAGATGAAAAAAGAGAAAAAGTAGTGAGATGATTCACCCTAATGCTCTTAATAATATCGTTATAGACCGCTTTTTGAGAGCACAGTATCGAAAATTATCGAAGGAACGATCGCATCGTGCATATTCTGTACAGTAGTTACAGAGAAATCGCGCTAGCGGTACTGTAACTTTTCGTGGCAGGGAAAGTGACCGCATATCATGTTTCAGTCTTGGATTTCTCGTTTAATTGTTAAGCGGATTAAAGACTATCGGTCGGCACTAAAACGGCACAGCGACTTTCAGCTCGTTTACGTTCACGTCAATGGCCGCGCGTGAAAGATTTCTAAATTTTCACGTGCGCGCTTCAGCCATTCACCGCCCGCCGTTTGGGTTGTAAAAAGAAAAATCGATTGAACGGCAAATCGCCGCAGCACGATGAAAAGTTTCGTCGCGGTACTGATGCCGTCACGAATGAGAAAGGGTCTCCGCTCAGAAAATCGGCCTTTTACAATCGAAAGTGAGAGAAGGAAATGTTAGTACGACATCGCTAATGAAATAAACGCTTGACTCTTGCGCTCGGCAAAAATGCAAATTTGTTTTCGCACCGTTCTTGTGTAATCTGGCTTGCACGCGTGCGCGCAAAAATATATGTGATTGATGCAACACGTCCCGAGTCGAAATTTTGATGCTACTTTAATGCTTTAACCCTTTGCAGTCCTACTTCGAGTCTGACTTGATATCACTTTTTTCCAGCCAGTCTATCTGGACAAAGGAATATTATTAGAAAAAATCATATTAAATATAATAATCTGATTGTGAAGTTTTTCTACATAACCGAATTATGAAAATTAATATCCAAATTGATATTACATTCAATAAACCATAATTTTGGAGAGACATATTTTGAATCTATTTTTCATAATAACATTGTAACTACTTCTAATATGGGTTATTAATTCTTATAATAGTGCTTCTGAAATTTAATAACATTATTAATAATTTAAAATATCATTAATAACATTCTAACATCATTAATAATTAACGAAATAATTTTTATTCTATCGTTTCTAAATTATTACAACTCCAATATTATAAAAGTGAATTTGGAATATGTCTTTTCATAACTATATACGTTATTAAATGTAATATAATATTATTTATTTTTTTCCATAACGTAGTTATGTAAAAAGTTTCACAATCAGATTATTAAATTTAATGTAGATTTTTTTAACAGAGTATATTTCTTCTTAGTCGGAACATGTAACGAACGAAGATGCCTAACGCCTCCGAATCGCCCGTATATCAATCCGTCGCGAGCAAAATCGACTGTGAGTGAAATAGTCGCATAGCGCGTAGCGCCGCGGCGGTCGTTGAAGCTTGCACAGATCATTATCAAATTCTGTATTATTAAATATTAGAACAATCCTATAAATATATAATAACGTGTTATAATGTGTCATGACTGAATATGAAAATTAAACAGCACAAATTATGTAATATAAAACAGAAAAGTATTCAATTTCATATTTGTTTTTAGATTTTATGGTAA